CCTTCCCTGGCAGTGTTCAAGGCCAGGTTGGACTCAGGGGCTTGGAGCAACCTGCTCTAGTGGAAGGTGTCCCTGCTCGGGGCAGGGGGTTGGGACTGGAGGAGCTTTAAGGTCCCCTCATACCAAACCAGGCTGGGATTCTGAAACTGAGATCTATGTTTAGAGCACCCCATTATAGTTTCTGGGTAGAGAGATGCTGCATAATGGGTGCCCCCAGCCAAGGATGCTTCTATCAGCACAGAATCACCACATAGTGGAACACACTGGTCCTCACACTAGGATGCAGCTGGGGAGGAAGGGAAGACGATCAGAGCATCACACATGTTCCTTCCATTCTAATTCTGCACGTTCAGGTCCAGGACAGCTGTTTTGATGTGTTCTACAGTCTAGAACAAATGAAATGGGTGAGATGATGAAAGAAAAAAGCCTTTTGCTTGTTTTTGCAGCAAAACTCCTGCTTGCTCTTTCTCTCAGTGATCTGCGGGTCAACAGGAATGGTTTCTGAATGACACTGTCTCTGAAGGGCTACTGGGAAGGCTGGCACTGGGATGCTCCTTCTGAGCACGGTGATGGCACCAAAACAGTCACAGCAGCAAAAGCAAACCCAGCATCCTGCTCCTTTATGCTGGCAGACAAGAGTTCCATCCCATTGTGTTCAATCTTGGAAAAAACAACTGATTTCTGCACTATCTGAGAAGACAAAAGAGCTTCTGCTTACTTAATGTTGGTTCTCTTTACAAGAGGCATTTGACTTGTAGCTTCAACCCCGCTGAATGACTCCATCCTTTCAACAGTAGCACAGGAGTGTGTGTTACACACTGTGTGTACATTACACACTGTCACCATTAATCCTCACTCCTGACCAGCAGATTTTATACTGGCAAAAGCTTCAGGAACATCCATCTGGTGAATTCAGCAACATGGGATGAATAACTGTAAGTTGAACTCGATTCAGAAACCCTTTGGTTCCCTGTCTGTCATTCAGAGGCTCCTGGGCTTTGCCAAACCAATGCCATGGGGCAAGTCAAAGCTTTGCAACCCACAGCAGTGAACCCTCATCACCCCCAGCTCCATGGAATTTTGCAGCAGACTTTGCAGCTTCCTTCTCCCCTTTATTCCTGGCAGGGATAATCAAAACCTTGAGGTTTTCACTGTCTTTCCTTTTAACTTCCAGCAGTTAGTGTTTATACTTGCAGATGAAGATGAGATCTTGAGGTTTTCAAAGCACAAAACAAGAAGTTGAAGAGGCTTGGAAACAGTTTTCCAACAAGTTTCTCTAGTTGTCTTAAAAGGACATTAAATTACATGAAGATGTGGCAATGGTGCATCGGGGCATGTTTGGAAACAAGGAATTAAAACTCAGCCATAAACCGTTCAGTGGAAGAATCAATAAGGTGGAAGCTGTAGGAAGACTCTGAGGTGTCACATCCTGGTAGGACAACACACACTGATGCCAGCCCCTTCTCCTGCCCTGCTGTGGGCACCTGTGGTCCAGCAAGCCACAGATGAGACCTAAGCCAAATCTACTAAAAACATAACTGCAACCCTCCAGAAAGTTTTGGTTTTTCATCCCAAAACAGCTCCCATAATGTAACAGGCTCCAGACAACTTCTCATGCAGAGACAAATGGGACAAAAATAGATTGAA